CTTTCTCCTTTACATTCTTGTCGAACCTTTTACTTTAAAGCCTTGTTTATTTTACCAAGTCTTTCCTTCATGCAATTTATTTAAAACCTCTTTATTTAAAGCCTTATCCAATTCAATCAAACTTCAAAATCAACCTATGTCCTAGGATCAATCTGATCGATCCTGCGAGTAACCAAATAAGTAACCATTTGGAGGATCAGCGGTTGTTTACCAAAACCCAAGGTAAACAGAGAGTCGTCGATGCAAATGGAATATTAATCTTGAAGGCTCCTATGTCTCAGAATAGAACCTTTAAGATCGAACTAAATGTGATGGACACAAGTGTCTTTCGACTGCAGCTAGCAGAGATGAATGGATATGACATTATCGACTAGGCCATCTCAACTTCAGAGACATCAGAGATTTAAAGAGAAAAAATATGGTTTCAGGATTGCCAGAAATCGACATTCCAAACAAGCTACGTGAGGAATGTGTGCAGGAGAAACAACACAAGAATAACTTCAGCAAGGATGCAGAAAACAGGTCGAAGGTTATTCTTGAAGTCATATACTCTGATGTATGTGGACCAATCCAGGTGGATTTGATGGAAGGTAACAAATACTTTGTTATATTCATAGATGATTTCAGTCGAAAGTTGTGGACTTACCTGATCAAGAAGAAAAGTAAAGTGATTGAGGTATTTTCCAAGTTTGAGTCTATGATCAAAAGACAAAGTGGTCGAAAACTCGAAGTTTTGAGAACTGATGGTGGTGGAGAGTATGTGTCAAAAGACTTCGACATGTTATGTGAAAAGGAATGGATTGTGCATGAGGTGGTGCCACCCTATACTCCACAACATAATGAAATTGCATAAAGGAAGAATCAAACCATCATGAATATGGTGATAAGTATGTTGAAAGGCAAGAATTTACCTAAAGAGTTTTGGGGTGAAGTTGTGTCGACTTCAACATACATTTTGAACAGATGTCCTACGAAGAAGCTAGAAGGAATTACTCCAGAAGAATATTGGTCTAGTGTGAAGCCTAGCTTGAGTCATCTTAAGGTATTTGGATCTATTGCACATAGACATGTGCCAGATCAGTTGAGAAGAAACCTTGATGATAAGTTGAGTCAAATGATTCTAGTTGGATATCATTCGATAGGAGGTTACAAGTTGTTCGACCCAGTGAACAAGTAGATTGTGATCAGCAGGGACATGGTCATAGATGAGCTTAAAGAATGGGATTGGACTGAAAATGTCAAGAAAGATTCAGTGGGAATCCTACTTGAAGAACCAGAAACTCAAGTCAAAAGAGAAGTTCGACAAGAGGAACCAGCAGTTATAGATCAACAAAGTATAAACAGACCTCAAAGAACAAGACGCGTGCCTGCAAGATTGCAAGATTATGTGATTATATCAGATGATGTGATAGATAATGAAGGTGAGTTGGTATATTATGCTTTCTATGCAGATGCCAAACCTGTCAATGCAGTTGAAGCATTGAAGGATTCAAAGTGGGTGAAAGCAATGAACGAAGAAGTGAAGTCTATCGAAGACAACAATACTTGGTCACTTGTCGAATTGCCTCAAGGAAAGAAGGAAATTGATGTCAAGTGGGTATACAAATTGAAAATGAATTCCAAAGGGGAAGTAACTCGACACAAAGCAAGGCTTGTGGCGAAAGAATTTCTACAGAAAGAAGGAATAGACTTCGATGAAGTTTTTGCACCTGTTTCCAGGATCGAAACAATCAGGTTGGTTGTTGGTCTAGCAAAAATAAATAGATGGCAAATATGTCAGATGGGTGTGAAGTGTGCATTCCTGAATGGACCCTTAGACGAAGAAGTTTATGTTAAACAATCAGTTGGTTTTGTGAAACATGACGAAGAGAGAAAGGTGTACAGGCTGCATAAAGCCCTGTATGGATTAAAACAAGCTCCAAGAGCTTGGAATAATAAAATTGATAGTTTCCTAAGGTAGAAGGAATTTGTGAAGTGCACAACTGAACATGGAGTATATGTAAGAAGAAGCAATAGTGAATTGCTTATACTATGTCTCTATGTCGATGATTTGTTGATAACAGGTAGCTGCAAAAGTGAGATCAAAGACTTCAAAGGTGATCTCAGCAAGGAATTTAAAATGTCTGATCTGGGTGAGATTTCATATTTTCTTGACATCGAAATCTATAAGAGAAGTAGAGGTTTGATGATGCATCAAAGAAGATATACATGAGAAATTCTCAAGAGATTTGAGATGGAAGAATCCAACTCAACTTCGACACCTGCAGAACCAAGACTGCAACTGTCGAAAGATGCAAATGAAGATGATGTCGACCTAACCCAATACATAAGACTTATTGGGTCATTGAGATACATTTGTCATACAAGGCCTGACTTAGCATATAGTGTAGGTATGGTAAGTAGATTCATACAGAAGCCAAATGTATCACATCTAGCAGCAGTGAAGAGGATACTAAGGTATCTCAAAGAAACTCTCGACTATGGCATTTTGTTTCTTGCAGTTGATAAAGAAAAAGAATACAAGTTAGTGGGATACACTGATTCGAGTTGATGTAGTGATGCTGAAGATTGAAAATAAACAACAGGATATGTGTTTATGTTAGGTGGTGCACCAGTTGCTTGGAGTTCAAGAAAGGAACCAGTAGTGACATTATCATCATGTGAAGCAGAATACATAGTTGCTTCTCTTTGTGCATGTCAAGCAACTTGGATGGTGAACTTGATCGAAGAGAGAACAGGGAAAGATCGTGAAGCAATTACCATGAAAATCGACAGCATGTCAGCTATCAATCTGGAGAAGAACCCAATAGCATATAGTCGAAGAAAGCATATCGAAATGAGGTTCCACTATCTTCGAGAGCAGGTAGCAGATGGGAAGATGAATTTGAAACACTGCAGAACTGAGAATCAGATTGCAGACATCATGACGAAGGGAGTGCTGGTCGAAGTATTCAGAAGACTAAGAACCATGATGAATATAGATAGTTTAGACACAATGAATCATGTGGTGTATTAAATTGTAATTCGATTATGTCGAAACAGTGTGTGTGTCGAAGGGAGGTTGCCCAATCGAAGAGCTTGTGGATTGAAGCAAGCTACACACATATTTGATTGGTTTTAGATTTAGATAAATTTGATTTAGATCTAAAATATATAGATTTGATTTAGTACCAAAATAGGTATTTTGGACTTTTATAGTTTTGGACTTTAGCTTAGGGAACAAGCTAACCTAAATCTATAAATAGAGGGAGTAACCCCTAATTTTATAATTAAGTCAATTCATTATAATTACAGAATTTGCAGTTGCAAGTGATTAATAAAGTTTTCTACAGTTTGTGGATAGAGAGAAACTCTTTAGAAAATAATTGTCTTCTTTCTTTTCTTTTCTCATAATTCATTGTCATTGTGCGGTGATGATATCAATCTTGTTCATTAAAATTGGTAAAAATTCATTATAGATATTTGGTAGATTTCCAACACTTATAAATATTATACTTCTTTATGTTGTCTTTTTTCTCTTAACTACAACCATTTTTAGGAATGACCTTTTGAGATCATTTGGTTTTGCCTATAATTTGCTCAAAAGATACATGTTCTACATTGGGCTTAAAAGAGACGTGTTGATAATAAAAAATCTCCTTCTGTTGTGACAAAATAGGTTGAAAATTCTCTTACTAGCTTAATTCACCATACTAAAAAATTTCAAGTTAGTTTTTTTGCCTAGTATTTTCAAAGTAGTTACAGGGTGCACAACTTCTTCACGAATGTATAAATAATTTATTAATTTTGATGATATGTATAACCAATTTTAAAATCACAACAAATCTAAAGGAATGTAGTATATCACAAATTTGTAATTCTGAGTTGGTTTTTTACCACTTTTTAAATTCATTTAATGTTATTCTTCTGTCTCAAATTTCAGTAACCTACTTGTAAAAATATTGTTTCAAAGAGAATAGTATTTTTTAAAATTTCAATATGATATTATATTTTTTTCTCTAATTGTACCATTTGATGTGGATAAAGGAAGCTCCTCGAGGCAAAGTTTCTCCAAAAAAGAAATTGGTGATTTGGTTAGCGACTTGCATGGTGTTGTGGTCCTCGAAAAATTTGACAATTTTTAAGAACAGAGTACCAATAATGACTGAGGTGGTTGACAATGTAAAGTTCTTTTTTTGGTTTTGGCATGTCATAGGCCTAAAATCTAGAGAGTGTTGGGATTACTACCTATGGTGTAAATGTCTATGAGACTTCTTGTACCTGATACATAATATGTATTTAAGAGGGTACTCATAGTACTCCTTTTAATTGAAAATTTCATTGCCTATAAAAAAATAATATTTGCATCATTTTTAATTCAATATCTTTTACTTTATATTTATGATAAATATGAATACATATTTGGAAATGATATACCTTGTGCACTCCCTACTTTCTATCTTCTTACAGTATTAGAAGTTTAGGACGGTCAATATGTCATAGCATACCTAACTAAGGTGAAATTGCTTTAAAATTTTGTGTCGGAGTACACTCTTAAAATAATTTATGTTTGGATGAAATATTAAAACTCACATACAATTTGTGGATGAAATATAGGTTGTGCATAACACAATACTACAAATTTAAGAATCAGTGCAACCTCTCATTCTCTCAAACAATTTATTACAAATTTATATATGTGAAAACAATATTATATAAAAAATTGAATTAATAAAAAAGTTAGAAATGTGTGTTGAAGTTGTTGAGTATATAGGAAAATGAGAGGATAAGAATGAATCAATTTAGCCAAAAAAAGACAGAAAAAAATAGAGAAACGGTATGGTCTTAAAGAGCGTGTTACCTTAAATTTTGCGCGTATATATAGATATAATAAGTTCCAAAAGTAACGGCAATGCTTTATCTTTCAATTTTACTTAACACTTTAGACAATTTGTTTGTTGTTTCTTTTTTTTAATTTTAATATTAATTTTCTCAGTGAAGAGAAAATAATAAGAAAGAAAATGCCTGCAACAACAGAGAACAATCAAAGCTCATTTTTGGGAAGAATAAGCATTCGAAGAAACCAAGTAATGTCAATGGAAGGTAATCACGATCAAGAGCTAGAAGACCTTGAACTTTTCCAAAAACACGTCGGTGATAGATTCGCCGACCTATTATCTTCCACAACAGAAGATCCTTCGAGCGACGCTCTTTTATCTATCGGTTGGTTGAGAAAGCTTCTGGATGAACTTCTTTGTTGCGAAGCTGAATTCAAAGCCGTTGTCATGATGGGTCGTGACCCTTCTCAAATCTCCAAACCGCCTCTCGATAAACTCCTCCCGGAACTCCTTGACCGTGTCGTCAAATCGCTTGACGTTTGCAATGCTGTAACTCTTGGTCTCGATGCTATTAGGAATCTTCAGAGGCTCGCTGAGATCGCTGTTGTTGCTCTTGAACCTAGACCCATGGGTGATGGACAAGTCCGGAGGGCCAAAAAAGCACTTCATTCTCTTGTCACTGTAATGGTGCATGAAGATAAAGAATGTGGTAGTACCAAGGGAACTGAGAGAAGCAGGTTTGTTAAATATAACTAACTTTATGCTTATTATAATGTTTTCTTTGTATAATTTGTATAACTAACTTTAACATTTAATAGATCATTTGGAAGAAGAGGAGGGAATGCTGGGAATAAGGATAGAGTAAGATCACTATCATGGACAATGGCGAGAAATTGGTCTGCTGCAAAACAAATCCACGCCATGTCTTCGAACTTGGCTGCGCCACGTGGTGGTGATTTAACGGGTTTGGCTTTGCCACTTTACATAATGAGTACTGCATTGGTTTTTGTGATGTGGACTCTTGCTGCCGCGATTCCTTGTCAAGAAAGGAACGGCTTGGGCACTCATTTACCCTTTCCGAGGCAATTGCCTTGGGCGCAACCCATGATTGGTTTGCAAGAGAAGATTGCTGAGGAGTGGAAGAAGAAGGAGAAGAAAGGCTCTGTTGGATTGTTGGAAGAGATGCAAAAGATGGAAAAGGTGGGGCAATTGCTTATTGAATTTGCTGACTCTTTTCAGTTTCCTGCTGAAAATGAGCGTTTGGATGAGGTCAGGGTGCATGTGGAAGAATTGGCTGATATTTGTAGGAAGATGGAAGAAGGCTTGGAACCTTTGCAATTGCAGATTAGAGAGGTTTTTCACAGGCTTGTTAGGACCAGGACTGAGTTTCTTCATGTTTTGGACCAAGCTGGAAAATTGTCTACACCTACTGTGTAAACTTGAACTTCTTTTTTTATTGAATCTTTACCAGCTAGATCTTGAAAATGAAGGTTTTCTTCTTGATACATATGTATGTAATGGCTCTATCTTAGCCTAAAATGTACATCTACATCACTATAGATTTTAATATGTTTTATTTGTTTTTGAAGTGAAAGAGGATGACTCAAATACACTTACTAAACATGTGGTGACTTGCCAACTTGTTTAATTTGATATATGAATTACTGATTTTTGCATTTTTTTTCCTTCTTTTCAGTTTCACCAGTTGTCAATACTATAATGCCATTATTATAAAAGAGAAAAGCAACACAACAAAAGAGAAGGAAAAAAAAAACTTATGATATATTTGAAAAAGCCTTGAAATAGAATGAGGTTTCAAACATATACTTAACCCACTAAAACACAATTCATTTGCATCAACATGTAAGTTAACAATCCATCTAGGACGAAATTACAAAAAAATCACTTTTAGCACCAATCTTTGTTCACAAAATGATTCTCTTATCAAAGAGTAAGAACCAAATTAGAATTCACAATCTCTCACGGGTATATTTCTTATAAACACTAGGTTGTTATTTGTTAGATTTTGTTGTTCAACATTATGATAAATTTGACTACTTACTACAATATAAATATAAATTTAGAGACATTTGATCAATGATTAAATAAGTTTTATTCTCATTCTTAGTTTGAGCAACTTTTGGGTATGGTGGCCATATTTTTTTCAAAAGCTACAGTAGGATTTTTTTAATTTTTTTATGGCCAGAGGATTTTCTTATTTTGTCATAAAAAGTAAAAATTGCATTCACAAATATGATACCAAGGCTAGATGTGTAAGTCATTACCTCCAATTATTTCATATAATATTGAAAAATAAATTCTTCATCCATATTTAGGAATTAGGAAGGTTTTGGTAAAAAAAAAGAAGTAAGAATGCAAATAATTTATTTAGATAAGCCTAATTATTACACCATAAACAAGTTAGAGATGACAAACTTGTCCCTCAAGCTATCATTAACCAATTTGTTAGAGGTTGTTAGTTAGTTAGAATTAGTTACACTTGTTAGTTGTGGTAGTTGGAAAGTTTATATTGTGTATTATTGCAATACCAAAGCTAACATACACCATATGATCTACTGTATATATAAATCTCATGTAACCTCTTGATATATTCACTTTTACTCATTACATGATATCTAGAGCTCTCTCTTGGAGAGATTCTTTTGATCTTCATTCTTCTCCTTCAAGCTTCTTGAGTGTTTTCATTTTCTTTCTCCTCAAGATCCTTGATTGCTCTTTCTTGTTCCAAAATTTTCACTGAAACTTATGATTTTTTCTATCCAACCGTCATTCTTCTGCTTCCTTTTCTCCCTTTTCCATCATTTCTGAAACTCTGGTATATCAGACCTCAGATGTCCTATGACATGTTGAGACATTTGAATCCGAACAAACAACAATGGCAAGGTATAAACGTACAAAAACAAAATTGAAAAGTAAACAACACACCAGAATTGTTAACCCATTTCAGAGCAACTCTCCTACTCTGGGGGCATACCAAGCCAGGGATAAAGTCCACTATAATAGTATCAACTCGAAGCTAAACTATCATGTTTACAACTTCTCACTTTATCACTACTTGTGATGACTTTCTACCTAAGACTCATCTAGGTATGAGACCCTCTTCAA